ATTTATTTATTTATTAAAACATTTTATTTACTATCTTTATTTTATGTGTATGAGTGTATTGCCTTCGTGTGTGTAAGCACACCCGTGTCGTGCAGTGCCCTCAGAGGTCAGAAGAGGGCATCGGATCCCCTGGAACTGAAGTCATGGATGGTTGTTAGTGCACGTGGGTGCTGGGAATCCAATCCAGATCCTCTGCCAGAGCAGTCAGGGCTCTTCACCACTGAGCCATCTCTCCAGCCCCTGCGCAGCAATCCAATCTACAGTCTTAGGAACTGCAAGCAACACAGAAGGGGACAAAGACAAATGATGTCTGCCTTTATCTTTTTGAGACAGGATCCCACATAGCCTAGGCTGGACTCCTACTTGCTATGTAGCCGAGGATGACTCTGAACTTCTGATCTTCAAGCCTCTACCTCCCAGGCAAGGACTCTACCCACGGAGCTATATCCCCAGCCCTCAAACGATGTCTTTTGTGTTATGCATTGCCCGTTTGTTTTTAAATTGGCAAAGAGACCATTCTCTACGAATGCCTACAATCACAAGCTAACAATTTAGGGTCTATCATGCTGATAGATTTATAACTGGAACAGTAGCTAAATCCACAAAATCTAGATGAAATGCAGACTCTATTAAGATCATGATACGGGAAAACCTTATTCATGAGAAAGTTAGGACTTAACCCTCAGCACCTCAAAGGCAAAGTGAAACAAGACCCTTGGTAGTATTGACATAAATTCACCCAAATAGGAATCTGGCTGCACAGCCATTGTATCGCTCATACATGGTGTTTTTCTGTGGTAACCTTTTTATCTATAGAGTGCTTCCAGGAAAAATAGCGACCAGGCAGTATGCAAATACAATCCGCCACCAATAAACAGGAAAATTACATTAGCTCAGCAAATACAATGATTTTTAAAATAACAGGGAGAGGTGCTAGGGTGGGAGCATTGGGGGCTCTCCTCTTACCCTCACATGAAGACCTTTCTAGAAAAGGCAGGAAATACCCTCCCGGTTTTGCTCCTGTAATTTCAAATGCACTGTGATTTGTGGGTACCCGTCATGAGATGCCAATTATGTGTTTGATTTGTAGATGCAAAATGCTATTGGGGAGCGCATGCTTTCCCTTCTCTGAAAGGATTTAGGGCCAGTAATTGCATAGGGAAAATGAAGGCCTGGGAGAGCGGGTGCAAGAGAGAATTAATGGGCAGATATCCATCAATGCCGATGGGGAAAGTGACTATTTATGCCCATGGGTTCATTTTCTTCACCTGGTGTTTTAGAGTCATGTGGATAAAATGCAGCCAAAGACGTCCCCATGAAAGGGGGACCCAGCTTGAGACTTGCAAGGCCAGCACGATCTTAATGCAATATTTTTCTTGGAAGCATCTCTCTCCCGCTTGTTGGCAGGCGACTACTTAGAAAAACAACAAGCCTAGAGAAGATGCTGTTATTTCCACCCACCAAAGCTAAATATTTCCACCCCACCAAAGAGGGGTGGCCTTGCATTTAAGGGTGGCAGAGAGCCTTCAAAGTGAAGGGGGTTCGTTAGGAATATGACAGGTGTAGTCAGGAGTAGCAAAGAAGGCAGTGATAAAGGTGAAGAATTGTAATTGAGCAATTATTCTCCCCTGCAACCCCAGATGTCTTTGTGGAGGCCAGAGGTTGATGTTGGGTGTCCCCTCTGAATGCCCTCTACCTTATATATTGAGGCAGGGTCTTCCTCTTTAACCCAGGGCTTGTGCCTTCAGCTGGTTTGGCTAGCCAGCTCGTTCTAGGGATCCCCGCTAGCCACCTCCCATATGCCGAGACCATAGATAGGCCATCGTGCCCATCTAGCATTGATGTGGATGCTCAGGATCCAAACTCTGACCCTCACACTCATCCATGTACCAGCTGAGCCATCCCTCCAGCCCACAAGCACATGTTTCTCCTAATAGCCACATGCAGTAAGTACTGTCGTGATTTTTATTTCACAGATGGGAAACTAAGGCTTTGAGGTTAAGAAATGAAGCGAGTTGCAGGGCTAAGCCTTCAGGGGCCCTGTAGAACCCACATCTGTTTGGTGAAATAATTCACTGCCTTACCTAAAGGGGCTCTGCTCTCTGTTGCTGACCTAATGAATGAGAAAACTTTCAAGGGGAATCAGAGCAGTTTGGTTGAACACTAAGCAGACATCCACCTCAGGAGAGGATTGTGGGAATTGTTGAAGACAAGAGCCGGCAACTTGGAGGGTGTAATTCCATAAAACAAGATGAAATGTAAAAGTTCAGTCTGGCCATGAGGTTTATGGTTGTGTTTGTTATTTTATTGCTATTGGTGTGGTGTTTTTGCTTCCCCAGCAAGCTGACAAGCGGATTTTTCATTAAATTGGTGTTGCCGGTCTCTAGTGCCATAAATTGATTTGAAGAAAGAAAAACTACTCAATCTAGTCAAACAACCATTAATAAGTGGCCACCGCTTGCAAGAAAACTGCAGTTTGAAACAACCGAGTGACCGAATTAGACCATCCCTGCAATTCATATCCTGTTCTCTTTCCCCTGGGCTAATTTTGTACGGTTTAAAGAACAGTTGTACTTTTATGTCCAATGAGAAAGATATTAATTATGAAAAATGGGCATTTCCTGAGCCATGTAAGAGACTTTTAAAAATCAGAAAAAAATCTATCAGTCAGCTCTGGTCACTTTCCTGTGTTGTTTCTCTTGAGCGAGGGTCTCTCTGTATAGCCCAAGCTGGCTGTGAGCTCTCAGTAACCCTGCCTCAGGTTTCTGAGTGCTGGGATCACAGACATGAACCACCACAGTTGTCCAAATAGTGTCACTATTGAGAATAAAATCAGGCAAACTTTATTAACTAAATACAGTTGCTTTTAAAAATGAAATGGCTGCTATTACTCTGGGACAAACACTTAGTCAACAGGCGTTAGACACGACTGCTCCAGGCTGTAACATAAAGTCACCGTGCTTATGGGTAGCATGGGT